TAACTATATCATTCTAAAAAGAAAATTAGACATTCCAGTTGGATAACTATCCAAAACATTTTACTTGAAACATAAATGTTATCAGAAGTACCATGACTTATAACTTGTTTTAAATTACGTCGCGAATATACGCATACATGTAAGATGTTGGTTACTTTAAAATAGATGCCTCAGGATGATTATTTTTATGGAACTGAAGATAAAAATCCCCTTAGCCTAAGGCATTATATGATTCAAAAAAGCACCTATGCATTTTATTTAAAAATAAATCCACATCATAGCATATTTTTAGCATAATATCTGTTTTAAATATCCAAAAGTTCAAGTAAACTTAACCTTTATTAAGTCACCAGTTACTTAAAGGCAATAGCAATAATAAACACAGATTATCTTCGTTGCATAAATTAGAATAATTATGTAAATATAATCTGCCATGCTATTGTAAACATAAGCAATTATTTTTTAGTTTGTTAAGATCTTCAAGTTTGACTTTATTATGTGCTTTCAATATTATTGATAAGTAACTATTTTAGTAACATTTTTTCGTCTTATCTGCACCTGTTTCAACTTCAGAATATTTTATATATCAGTCATATGACCTCACAGCTACATTCGCCGTACAACGATGCTTCAACAACGTAATCCGTCTATGAAAATTAAAATAACGAGTAATTTACATGACTAAAATAATGAAAGTTATCTTTGGACGTTGCTATAACGTCGCCATATGACCATTTATGGCTATATAAGCTGGAACTAAGTTTTCCATCAGCGTTCGTTCGACGTCGGTGTCGGTACATTTGCGGAAATTTATTCAAAGAATAATTGTTGAAAGTCCATCAAATGGACATTATTTAGTACAAAAACGTATTTTATACTAATTGTTAAAAAGTAGAGATTTTGCATTATTTAGCTGAGAAAATGGAGTGAAATGGTTTAAAAAAATACATAATATAGGAATTTACAAAAAACTCTGAATCATTCTCTCCAAGTTTTCATAAAGAGTGAGTTACTATTACATAGATTTAGAACCAAGATTTTCAAGAAAAAATCATTATTTCGACGTCCCTCAAAGGTTTGGTCAAATTAAGGTATGTTGATATAGGTATTTCCTATCTACCCTGTGATATAAATTAAGTAGCTACCTTTTTTTTTTTAGAAACTTCAGGTAAGTCAGAAAATATTTCTTTTTTAGAATTTTTTTTGGGTGAATTTCATTCTATTTTTAGTCAAGTTAGAACCTCTAATACATTATTTGCTGTAGTTGTTATTTATAATTTTATTCAATATACATTTTATGTATGACGTATTTTTACGTTATAATAATGTTAGGTAGATAACCATTTTTTTTAATAGTTATTAGAGAGATATCGGTAACCCAAATAGTGTCACGCAGTATTGGGTCTCTTCCCACAGGAGTCTCTGACAGTTTGCAAACTGTCAGTAAGAATCGCCCATACATGTTTTCAATGCTGTCGTTCCAAGATCAATCTGTAACTCAGCTGAGCGATTGTTTCTGACAGGTTGCAAACTGTCGGAGACTCCTGTGGGAACAGACCTATTAGCGCCTACGTTATTTTGACATTGGAGAGATTGCTCGACAAAAAACGTCATGCGCTAATAACGCTTACGGTATTTTGACGTTTATTGGATGCGCGATTCGCTTTTTTACGTGTCTTCCGCTATTAGGGTTAGCGCTTCGGGTTATTTATGCTTACGTACCGTTGGGCGCTATTCAAAATACCGCACAATATTGACATGACAACTGACAACTCCTACTTCGATTTTTCTCTGGAGAGGTTAGGATTTTTGTTTATTATTTATTTCTTTGTGTTATGGGTTAGGGTTTTGGGTGCCAACTCAAGTTCTCACTTCTGAGTTTGTGTTTTGTGGCAGCTTGTTTGGTTTGTATTTATTATTTTAAACAAAATGTCCCTTGGAACTGGTGTTGGTGTTCCCTCGGTGGGTCCAATAAAGCCAAAAGACGGACCGAAGAGGTTAGAGATAGAGATATTGAGTTCCAGCCCTGGAATCTTGAAATGAATAACACTAACCTCTAACAGAATTACGGGTTGAAGTATGAATTGCTTGAGGGATTCTTAGAGCTTCCGCCAATCTATAGATATCTTGCCTCTCAAATCGAAAATTATTTTTCACATCTTCTTCCTGCATATTATCCAAATCAAATTCAATATTAATATTAGGGTTTTGAAGGACTTCTCCTTGGTTTTGCTCCACTCCTAGTATATGGTGCAAAATCACATACTCAATAGCATTCTCGTTAGCCCCAGCTAAGATCACCGCCTCAAGATCTTCCTCCATCATAAGGTATGTAGGTACCTCTATCACAGTTTTTCAATTAACTACTTTTTTTTGAAATCTGATTTCTGAATCAAAAATCAACAAACAAAATAAACAAAAAAGTCAGGTTATAGGTTGTATCGAAACATTTGACATTTTGACTTCTACATGAGCGCAGCGCTAATTATAGAAATAACGTGGCAATAAGTTTCATTTTCAGCTTTTATTTATAGCTTGACGTTATGTAATAGCGCGGCGTAAATATCGTAATGCATGCGGTATTGTGATTGGCAATATCTCTCTATTAAACCTATGCGCGATTCGATTTTTAACACTATGTACCAAAATAACGTTACCGCATAACGTAATTTACCCAGCGTTTACGTTAAGCGCTATTTCGAATAACGCCTAGAAATAACGCAGTGGAATAATATAGGTTATGTTAGGTTTATTGTTTTTGTTTATTTTATTTTTTTTGTTGTGTTCAACTGAATAGGGATTGTTCAAAAAATAGTAAAAAAGCATTTCCTCTGTCCCTGACCATAAACAACAGACAACACAAATCAAATCACAACAAGGTACAAGTTAGGCTACGGTTATAAAATAACGGATGCAAACAGGCAAATTTCACGTTAAACTGTTTTCCGATAACTCTAATTTGAAAGTATGATACCGCTTATCTTGAAAAAATAACTCCTGACGTTATTACCATCCATACGCGCTATCTGATTCACCGATATCTCTCTATTTACAAGTGCGCTTATGAACATACGACAATAACGAGTGTGAAAGATTCGAACGACGAGGTCGTAGACCGAGTCGTTCTAATCACACGAGTTTTCTAATCATGTTTAAATGCACGTGTGATGTACAACGTTTTATCTACAAAGCGAAAAATGGGAATGCTTTTTCAATCATTTTCTTTTATTAGTCGTTGTCTACCTTCATTTTACCTTTACAGGTTTAACTTTGACATTTGTTTAATCACCAAAAATAGTTGTGTCTTGAAATCATAACCTAGTCCATAACACCACTAGTTGTGTTATGAATTCGTAACCTAGTCCATATAACACCACTGTTCTGTTATGAGTCTCGTGACATACCTAACTCAAATACTAGAAAAAGGGTTATGTAAAAACGTCATAACCAAACGCTTGTAGATAATAGTTATTTACATTACAAGTGCGTTTATGAGCATGATTACAATAACGAGTGTGAAGGATTAGAACGACGAGGTCGTAGACCGAGTCGTTCTAATCATACGAGTTTTGTAGTCATGTCTAAACGCACGTTCGTACAACGTTTTATCTACAAAGCGAAAAATAAGAATATTTTTCCAATTATTTTCGTTGATTAATAGTTGTCTACCTTCATTTTACCTTTACCGGTTTACCTTTGACATTTGTCAAATCACCAAAAATAGTTGTGTTAAAGACTCATAACCTCGTCCATAACACCACTAGTTGTGTTATGAATTCATAACCTAGACTATAACACCACTAGTTGTGTTATGAGTCTCATGACGTAACTCAAATACTAGAAAAATGGTTATGTAAAAACGTCATAACCAATCCCAAGCAGCAAGCTTACGTCAATTCCACGTTCATTCAACGTCATTTAGTGACGTCGAGGTATGTCTAATCTACGTTCCAATATACGTCGCTTAGACGTCACAATGTCATAGTAGAAGTGACGTTGTCTAGTGACGTAGAAGCGACGTTGTCTAGTGACGAAGAAGTGACGTATAATCAACGTCAAATGGACGCCTTATAGACGTCTTAATACAGGTTTTTTTTTTTTTTTTTTTTGATGGGTTATATTGGGTTTCATCGATTTGGATTCGAAAAATAAATGATCCTTTTTTTCAGTTTTGTAAGTAAAATTTTTATTCAAACTGGAATACAATACAAGTAGGTACCAGAAAAAAATTAAACACTAAGAATCATAGAATCAATCATACAATCTTACGTAGGAACCTTGTACTACCTATACTTGGTTGAATGTTATAATAATTTATTTCTGATATATTATTATCATGAAGGCCTTGGTACCAGTTTATTTTAAACGAAATAAATCTCTAAAAAAAAAAACAAAAAATAATCTTCTATTATCTAACAGTACGATAGGACCTAGATGTACTATAATGTATCAATAAAAAAACAGTAGGAAATTCAAGAGGTGGCTAAAAGACTGACATTCTCATCTATTTTTCGTTGACTTAGGAAAATGAAATACATTTGATATAGGTTGACAGGGAGTAAATTTTAAAGCTTCACCACTCTTTGCTATTATCTTGCTTTCGAAAAAAAATCGGAAACGCGTCAACTATAACTTGGAGGGGGATAAGTTTTTTATGCAAAATTTACTTCCGCCCTTTAAGCCCATATAGCAATCCCCTCAAAAGTTCTAAATGGAAAGGCAAGTGACGATAATTGAGGTTTTTACTTGCATACATTTTGGTACTAAATTTTGTGAATTTACAATTTACTTGCACCGATAACAAGTTCTATTACATTGTTTTTAAGAATGGATATTTTATGAGCGAAAATAAATTTAGAGGGTTAAAAGGGGGAAGTAAATTTTTGCATAAAAAACTCATCCCCCTCCAAATTATAGTTAGTCGTTTCAACTTCGAGATAATAGGGCTGGTGAGTATCAAAATGACCACCCTGTATAAAGATGCTTGAAATAGAAGGTATTTAATGTATGAGGGGAAGCGATAACCACTCACTGTTGAGGGGAGTGTTGAGAGGAAATAACATACATTTTGAAATTATAGAATCGATTGGGAAAACTTCCATATTTTGGTGTAGCTCCGTTACAATGCATATGTCAATAGATTTTGATTCAAATGGGTAATTGTAAAAAGATTCGTACTGAGTGAACTTTTGACCAACTACAAAAATTTCATTTGTGTTGTCAACTATAATATTATTAATTTTAATAACGTTTTTTCCAGTATTAAGACAATAACAATTAGCCACAGAATATGCTGATGTTGTGTATACAAAATTGTTATGATACAGCTTCTTATACTGTTTAACACAAGAACGCGCATCCATTAGTGGACCACAAAAATGTTCCATTTCCAATTTCCTAGAAACATCCAAGTTATTACCTAGGGAAATATTATTAGCTTCTGTTAATCGACAATATAGCTGCTCTAAAGGTTTGTTGGGTGATTTCACTGTTTTTTTAATTTCTCCCAAGAAGCTTTCAAATGGAAAAGCAGAAATTGTTTCTAAGGGACCAAATAACTCAACTTCTTCACTTAAATGGCATAACACATGGACATTATAAACCAAAGTCCCCCAATCATCATTCAATGATTTATTTCTTTCTAACCCATTTTTTCCTTAAAGAGAAAATTACTCCCATTTTTTTTTTCAAAACCTTAAGACAAACTTCTTGAAACCTGACAACATTGGAATAAGCTCAAAGAGAGCACAACTTTGGTTAATATTCAAAAATCAGAGGAAATTGGAGAAAAATGGACTCTACTTGAAAATTTTGTACTGGATTTTTTTCAGTTTTTTGTCAACCATGCGCCTAATTTAAATTCCCTGATATTTTCTAATGTGAAAAAAATGCTTGAGAATGTGCAATAATAATGAAAAAGACCTGACCTGTTTTTTGTGTATAATAATTATTATTCAGCTTCAATTGGATACGTGGGGGACGTGGTAGATTAAGGTCCAGTTTCTTTTTTGTTGTCAACTTTTTTGGGGGTGAGCAATCATTTTCGTTTTCATCATCATCAGTATCAGAGAAAACTTTTTTTTTAATTATTTTTCTTTTAAGTCTTCTCTTCTCTTCAGGGTCCTCATCTAGATCTGTGTGAAGATCAGAAGTTACCTCGGCTTGCCTCAATTTTTCTTTAGCTTTATCAAAGTCCTCTGAAAAACAAATCCTAGGTATACCTTCCATGTGTCGCACCCCTATAGCTTTTATGTGTTCTGACTCATTTTGATCTAATCAGTCAATAAAAAACAATAACAGACTTTTTTTTTGGTGTAAGTTAAACAAAAAATCAAGATTATGACATCATAGTCTGTTATAGTAATTGGATGCAGGAAAGGAGTGTTGGTTAGAAAAATAACAACTTTTGGAGCATCTAAAATTGACAAATTCCGGTTCGACGTTCAACTAAGTAGAGTGACAATAACATTGAAATTTTGAATAAAAACTTCAGTGTTAATAAAAATTTTATCTCTGGGTCTCGTAGATTCTTTTTAAATTGACATTTAATTTTAAAATAATGGGATTCACTCAGCAGCTCCTAAAACAACAAACAAAATTCAAATCAAATCTCCAACCAAAAATAAGGAAATGCCGGCTCAAAAGTCAAAGTGATCCTATGAACAACATATTCTTTCGCCAACCTATACGTATTTTGAAATTGAAAAAAAAATCTAGCCCCAACCAAATTAATATAGACAATAAAGGCTTACCAGTTTCATAGAAAACTTTTTCTACTCCAAATAATTTCCATTTATCGGGGTCTATGTCCTGTTCGACTCTACGCAATACCTTGCTAAAATTTGAACTATTTTTTATAGGCGGCCAGAATACCTCTTGTTTTCTGGGAGTAAGCCACTGGGAATTAACTAGTGAGAGCCCACCACCATCTGCTTCTTTGAATTCTATTACTGCAAACATCGTGGATCTATAAGTATTACAGGAAATAAAACAATAGATTACTCTAATGTATCTACAGGGTGTCCATAATACCATGTCCCACTACTTTTATATTCGAAATGGTAAGAGCTACGGAACGAGGGTGGTTGAATAACAGAAAAGTTTCCTCTTTTAATGCTCATTCCTTTACAGAGTTGTGAAATATCTGTTATTTTCTGAAATACAGGGGGATTTCCAAGATTCATATTATTATTTCATCGATTATTTTTAAAACTCGTTTAAAAACTATTGATTTTTGGGAAACAATTTGAATTTAAAAGTTTTATAATTTTGCTCGCTTTGAAACATGGTACATCCCACAATTCCCACATACCAATGACGTATTCGAATTTATTTTTTCTACTTTAGCTGAGAGCTTCAGCTTCCTCAGCCTGTGCACTCCAAGTTGCTTCGTTTGGGTATTACTTTTTAAGTCATTTGGTCATGGATTTCTAACCACTCATAGATCACGTGATAGAAATACCCAAATCTGCTCATACTCTACTTCAACTATGTGCTGACTAGCCAAACCTAGCTTTTGTAGTAAAAAGTTCCGACCAAAATTCTGTTTGTTTCTCTCAGAATTTCCTACAAAATGGGCCAATAATATGAATAAGAAATAGTCCAGGTTCATGCTTATTTGGAAAAAAAAGTAGTTTGTAGTGATGGCTCGAATATGAATTGTTCAAATCAAATAAGAAGTAAGCTTTATTGTCCAAAAAAAACATCGGTATTGACAAAGCAATAATCTTTAGATTAGTTGGATTCAAATTGTGTCCCAAAAATCAATAGTTATTGAAATAATCGTAGGTAATACCATAAGAGCTCAGATTTAGCCGGATATTTTTTGGCTTGGTCCCGAATACTTACTTTTAGGAAATTTAACGAGAGCTGTTCCGACAAAATCACGAGAGCGCAGCTCGAGTGATTTTGTGGAACAGATCGAGATAAATTGCATGAAAGTAAGTATGAGAGAGCAAGCAAAAAAATATCCTGCTCAAAATCTGAGCTCGAATGGTATTTAGTACGGCAATTCCACGAATGCATAATCAAAATAAAATATGGAAATATTTACTTTTTAAAATGAACAGTTATTGAAGGTACAATTAGAATAAATATTTTGCCCCTTAAAATTTGACTCTACAGAAAGAGAAGAAGACTGTGTTCTCAGGAATTGAATTTTCTATTTCGCTATTAATTCATCTTTAATTGTCCCAAATCGCTGCATGTTGAAAATATTTTTAATTTTATTTAAAAATACACTTTTAATAAGCTAAAATGATAGAACTTGTGAATTTTTGTGACAATTATTTGACAGATGATTCAAAAATCAATTTTATATGCAATTGTTACTATGGTAACGATTGCATCAACAGAAAAAATATCCGATTTTTTTATCCAGTTATATTTTCTCTTCCTTCCTATTTATCCGCTTACAAACTACGATTTTTGACATTTCAAATGGGATTATTTATACATGAGTGGAATTGTCGATGGTATATTTTCAGGCGATTCTTAGAAATCACCCTAAAAATTAACAGAAATTTCACAACCCTGTAAATGAATGAGAAAAAAAATTAATCAAATCAAAAAATTACGCGGCAATGCAATCAATTTGATCATGGCCATTTTGAAAAAAGAACGCCATGAGTCCAGAAATATAGCAACGAAACGGTCAACCTATTCATATATTTTACACTCAATATTCTACTTACCAGAAATCGAACCTAATCCGACTGAAGCCACAATCACTTCACCAAATTAGTAATTTAATAATTACTAATTACCATTTACCACACCACAAACACAAACGGCGAGCCGGCCATGCGAAGCGAAGCGAACAGCAAACAACAAACAACACACACAGGAACGCAAAGCAAGAAGCAAGATGGAAGACGATTGACGTTGACGATGACGAATCGACCAATCGACGGGTGGCACATTGGCGGATCGGGTACGACTGCTCCCGAGAAGGTCCGAGCCTTGCCGAAATGCGTTTGCCGCGCTTTGAATTTAATTTGAAAATGAAAATTGTGCTGCGCTGTTTTATCTTTATCGAATTCGCGAAAATCAGTCACCAATAAATTAAATTGCGCTGAATTTTTCCAATATGGATTCTATAGTAGTGAACAACAAACGCTGTAGGCACGGGGCTTAAGGGAGGGTTTGTCTTTTATCGAATGCCATATGTATTAGCTCTTGTTAATTAATTAATTGAAGTCGGAAATATATTATTTGAGCACAAAAGTCGGAGATTAATATCATCTTCATACATACAAATCGGCTTTGTTGTTCACTGATATGGATGAGCTTACAGATTCGATAATAGATGTCGCCCACTTTGAAATTTTCGCGAATTATAAGTGTATCTAATTTAGCATATATTACACAATAGTAATTCGCGATACTTTTTTTAAATTTTTACTGTTACGTCCACTCGACGTCGTTATCAACGTATTGGACTGTATCGACCATTTTTAGACGTCAAATAAACGTCCACTATGTGACGTCCCAAACAAGTCATATTTTGCAACGTCTTTTCGACGTCGATTTTTGGTTTATCGACGTTGTGGACGTAAATCTACCTGAAAGCGACGTCATATCGACCAACCTTTGCTGCTTGGGAAACGCTTGTAGATAAAATTATTTTTTCTACTACCGTGCGTAAAGTACTCACTTTACGCACTATTCAGAAGACGTAAAATTTCACTTCACGCACTAGTGCGTGAAGTAATTCACTTCACACACTAGTGCGTAAAGTAATGTCAATGACAGTTGCCGACACTGTCAATTTGGCATTTTTCTGGTAAATTACTTCACGCATTAATGCGTAAAGTGAACATTCTTCACGCACTAGTGCGTAAAGTATTTTTTCAAATTAATTTTTTTACACATATTTGATTGGTAGTAGAAAAATTTTTGTATGTAATACGTGCGTAAAGCACCTTTTTTCACTCATGTGATTGTCGCACTCGCCTTGAAAAAAGGTTCACTTTATACACTTTTGTTGCATAAATAACTATTATCTATTAGCGTTTGGTTATGACGTTTTTACATAACCATTTTTCTAGTATTTGAGTTATGTTATGAGACTCATAACACAACTAGTGTGGTGTTATAGACTAGGTTATGAATACATCACACAACTAGTGGTGTTATGGACTAGGTTATGAATTCATAAGACAACTATTTTTGGTAATTTGACAAATGTCGAAGTTAAACCTGTAAAGGTAAGATGAAGGTAGACAACGACTTATAACCAAAAATGATTGAAAAAACCTTTTTTTTTTGCTTTGTAGATAAAACGTTGTACATCACACGTGCGCTTGAACATGACTACAAAACTCGTGTGATTAGAACGACTCGGTCTACGACCTCGTCGTTCTAATCTTTCACACTCGTTATTGTAATCATATTCATAAACGCACTTGTAATGTAAATAACTAGTATGCTACTCGTGTGATATGTTTTCTAATGCCCGTATTACATCTGTGTATTTTTCCGTGTATTTATTCATGTAGTTCAGGGTGCCAACATTAATTTGTTTTTCATAATGCTGATTTATGTTGTGTTTGAAGTTTTTCGGTTGTCACCCTGAACTAAATGAATAAATACACGGAAAAATATACAGATGTAATACGGGCATAAGTCACTCGAGAAATTATACAACTCAGCCTGGCGGCCTCGTGGAATAAATTTTTCTCCTGTGACTTATTTTCAACATGACACATTAGTACCATATTAAATAACTATTATTAAATGGGTATTAATATATGAAAATACGCATCCCAGATCACTGTGATAAGTATTTGTATTTAAGATGCGTTATGAGTTTATCAAAACTTATTAGGCCCGCTTTATTTACCTTCTCATAAACTGTGAGGTAATACAAATCTGACGGATAAAAACGCAATCTATAATCCTATTGGTCAGCCAGTTATCCGCCCCGGATTATGGATTGGTAAATTTATTTCGTAGACAGTCTGAGGACGAATAAACCGGGCCTTACTCAAAGATTAATTATTCCAAGTCCAAAATCAATCTATATATAAAAATCAAAGTTCCTTCGATTGACCCAGATTAGATTGATTTGGGTTCAATTTAAGTGAACTTCTTCTGATCTAAATCATTTTTTGTTGATGAGAGTGCACTGATCCAGCCTCAATCGAATACAGTGTGGTTCACTTAAATTGAACCAGATCGATCTAATCCGGTTAATCGAATTCGGCTAAAGAGGGGAGTGCTATAAGCTATTTTCTATCCCGAAAAAAAAAGTTCGGTTGCGCGAAACTCTGATACACTGGAATGCCTATAAACAACCCGGGGCGCTTTAGAACAGCTCTGGAGTGCTTAAAATGCGTCACTGAACTCACTGGCAAGCAACTCTGGTATCGGATTAAAAAAAAATAGTTATTTGTTAATTTGTTTTACTAGGCAGAAAAGTACAAGATTTAATGCCGCGGCTGGTGTTTCATAGCCGAGGCTAGGAAACCAGCCGAGGCATTAAATCTGCTTTTCTGCCATGTAAAACATATAATTTTTTCTCCGAATGTTCAAATTCACACATGGACATCTTTTTTATATTTATTTCATTCATTATTATTATCCAAATAATTAAATTATTTTGACAATTGTCATTGTCACCATCAATTTCAAATACCAAATTGAGTGGAATTATCACCTGGAACGTTGTGACACTGGCACTTTTAATGCCTAGGCAGTAAAAATACAACTTTTGATCCTGTCAAGTGTCATTAAAAGTCCGCTTTTACTGTCATTCGGAGAAAAAAAAAATTAAATAGAAAATCAACAACAAAATTTGAAAAAAAGTGTATTATTTCAAAATATATTTTCACGCTGGCAACGCAGCGGGTCATTAGCTAGTTCCTCATAAAATTGATTTAAGTAATGGTGGGTTTTTTGCCCCAAAAATTAATTGAGTAGTTGCGAGTTATAATAATTATTGGTTCGAATCAGATTTAATATGTG